TAGTCTATCTATCCCAAATCTAGCTCTATCTATCTAACCCTACCACGTGCTGCTCAAAAGGTTGGGAAATGGAGAAATGGAAAGTTTTCATCGAGGGTGTAGATTCGGACGTTTTTTTTGAAATTTCGGCAAATCTGACCCAGTGACAATCGCGCCGCAGCTGCCGTTGAATCGGCCGTTTGATACACTCGGCTGTTTTGATATACTCAAGCAGGAATTAAGATTGAATCGCAACCCGTGCCTTCAGGATTTCTGTGCATTTCTGAACGAACCTGACTTTGAGGTCACACAAAGTTAATGCCTCTTTCCTCGAGTCGATATTTCAGTAAATACACAAAAGTGTGCAGCGATGAAAGACAGTGCATAGATGACAAGATGAAGGCGTTATAACATTATTTTGCAGGATTTTTTTTGTTAATTAATTGAATTAATGCGTTGCTCTGTTTTAGGGGGTCGTGCCAGGACTTCGATTCAGGGGGGGGGTGCGACCACGTCCTCGACACGATTTTCACCCTGAGTATGATGGTGCGAAGGATAAGGGCTGGATGGCGGATGATTATGGACTTCCCGCCCAGTTATTTGAGTTTCCGCCTTTTGTTCTCGTCGTTGTACGTACAGTTCACCTGTAACCGTCTGGACACAATCAAGCATCTCAAATGTACGACATCTTTGGAGCTCCACCAAACACATAGCATGACTTTTCTTTCATGAATGCCGCGCTTCGGCGCCAGTTTTGGGTGGTGCTTTCGTCTTAGCCACTGTTTCTTCCTCGGTAGGTTGTCTAATGGAGCACTTTTAATTTGATCGATCGATGTGATTATCGTCATCACATCAGATAAGAAGTACCAAAAACATTCATCTAATCGTAAGTCCTAAAAACCTCTTCTTTGGAACGACGAGGAAGAATCCCAGCACATGTAGTCGTGCTACCTTGTCACTGAGCGTGTGGCACCAACTTACCCTAGCATGCCGACTTCTCAACTGCATGCAAACTTCTGGAATGTGGGGTAGTCACACCCAAGATCGCCATGAGTTCTCACGCCGTTTCCGTTGGGATCCCTTCCGATTGCTTCTCTAAGAGAACTATCGTTCACCAATAGGTGTCGGTGTTGCTCCGATGGTGTTCTTCTTGGTCGAGGGATTCATCGCTTTCGGAAACGCTTGAACCACCACTCGCATTGGCGCTGAGATACTACTTCCTCTCCGAAGGCGATGCACAAGCTGCGGTAACATTCAAGAGAAGTTCTGCCTTGTTTGAAGTCGTAGAGCATACAAGCTCACAGCCGAAATTTTTGTTCAGTCATCGTGACAAGGTTTGTCAGCGGAAAAAGGAGGCAACTCAGGACAAAATGGCTATCATCCAATACTGTGAGTATTTCTTTTTCTGCACTCTTACCACCAAGATTTCAAAACAGTTGAGAGGGAGGAAAACGAAAACGAGCGACATTTATATTATTATTATATATCATGTGCAACTATCAATATTTAATCTTGTCTGCTTCTGCACATTAATGGAGCTTTTTAATAAAGATTGGGACAAAACTTCTCCTAATTCGTTCTCCTTTATCTCTCTCTCAACTATTTCGGAATCATAAGCGGTAAGAGTGCACTCTTGAAAAACAGAATTTCCCACAGTATCTATCTTATAGCTATCTTGTCCTGAATTGCCTCGGTTTTCCACTTTCAAATCTTGTCAACGATGACTGTCCAAAAATTTCGGCCGCGTGCTTGTATGCTCTACGACATCAAACAAGGCAGAACTTCCCGTGAGTGCCACTGCAGCTTGTGCACCGCCTTCGGAAAGGAAGTAGTATTCCTAGCGCCAATGCGAGAAGTGGTTCCAGCGTTTCTGAAACGGTGATGGATCCCTCGAAAAAGAAGAAAAACACCATCGGAGACACCCATTAGTGAACGATAGTTTTCTCAGAGAACCAATGGGAACGAATAGCAAAACAGTGCGAGAACTCGCGGCC